TTCTGGGATATAGTGAGCGTCATAAGGGGTATCGATGTCTAGTTCCTACTGATGGTAGAATATATGTCAGTCGACATGTGCAGTTTGATGAATGTTTCTTTCCTTTTACCAAGAAACTAAATAGTGACTATCCTCACTACACTTCTCTGTATCGCAAATGGGTTGATGAGGTAGACTTTCTGGATTCTAACAAGCTGCGTTCCATGCGACACCCTTCTATTTGTACCACTGGTCATTTACAGGAAACTGACGTTATGGAGCCTAGTCATATTCGTGTCCCACATATCACAGAACCGTGCAACCACATGTCTTTATCATCCTCACAACCTCCTATTAACCATGAGGTCTCAGGATGCTCTGCTCCAGATAATGCAGCACCAATCATTTCTGTTGATGATCCAGCCCATCCAAGTGCTTTTTCCCATCATTCCCATGATACCTCTGTTCATCCTATGCATACTCGACTCAGGTCTGGTATAGCTAAACCAAATCCCAGATATGCTTGCTTAGCTGAATACAATGTTCCAGTTGAACCGAAATCACTTCAATCAGCTCTAGCTCATAAGGGCTGGACTCAAGTAGTGCATGAGGAAATGGATGCCCTACATATGAATCAAACTTGGATATTAGTTCCAAGATCAGCTGAGATGAATATTATAGGTTGTAAGTGGGTGTTTAAAACAAAGTTAGCATCAGATGGAAGTCTTGACAGGTTGAAGGCTCGTTTGGTTGCTAAAGGGTTTCACCAAGAAGAAGGAGTAGATTTTTTTGAAACCTTCAGCCCTGTAGTGAAACAAGCCACACTTCGTATTGTCTTATCAGTGGCTATGGTAAAGCACTGGCCTATTCGTCAACTAGATGTCAAAAATGCCTTTTTACATGGCACACTCACTGAATCTGTCTATATGGAGCAACCCCCTGGTTTTATCAATCCTACTTTGCCTCATCATGTCTGTTTACTCAAGAAATCTTTGTATGGTCTTCGATAGGCTCCACGAGCATGGTTTGAGAAATTCAGCAACTTCCTTCTTGAATTTGGTTTTTTCTACAGCACCACAGACCCTTCTCTCTTTGTGTTTCATCGTGGCACTGACACAATCTTGTTGCTTCTGTATGTTGAAGCGAGACGTGGGGCGATTTGTCAGTAAATGCTACATTTGCCAGACCGCTAAGGGCCACTCTCAGAACACTGGTCTTTATACCCCATTGCCTATTCCTTCGGGTCCTTGGGTAGACATATCGATGGACTTCGTGTTGGAACTTCCTCGCACTCAATGGAGTTTAGATTCTGTTTTCGTGGTGGTTGACCGGTTTTTGAAGATGGCGCACTTCATCCCTTGTAAGGAAACTTCGGATGCTTCGCATGTGGTAAGTTTATTCTTTCATGAAGTAGTCCGTCTCCATTGTGTGCCGAAAACAATCACTTCCGATCGTGACACGAAATTTCTGAGCCATTTTTGGCGTACTTTATGGCGTTTGTTTGGGACTGATTTACAATATCGTAGTTCTTTTCATCCCCAAACGGATGGTCAGACGAAAGTTGTGAATCGTACTATGGCGGATATCATTCGCTGCCTCTGCAGTGATATGCCTAAGCAGTGGGACTGATATCTTGCTCCTGTTGAGTTCGCCTTCAACAACTCGGTTAACCGCTCTACTGGTACATCTCCTTTTCAGGTTGTTTATGGGCGTACACCACAGCATACTCTGGATTTGGTTCCCTTGCCCAGGATTCCTGGTTATAGTGTCGCAGCAGAGAATTTAGCAACCAGAATTAATGAAGTCCAAGCTGCTATTGCTAGTCAATTGGCTGCTTCTAATTCAAAGTATAAGGAGGATGCTGACAAACGGCGACGTTCGAAAATTTTTGAGGTAGGCGATGAGGTAATGGTTTTCCTGTGAAAGGAGCGTTTTCCTGTAGGTACCTATAATAAACTGAAGCACAAGAAGATTGGTCCTTGCCGCATCCTGAAGAAGATCAACAACAATGCCTATGTAGTTGACCTTCCTGATGATCTCAACATTTCCCCTACATTTAATGTGGCAGACTTATTTGAGTATCATGCTCCCGATACACCCCTCTATCCTGATCATAACTCGAGGGCGAGTTTTTCCGAAGAGGGAGGGAATGATGTAGAACAGTTAGTCTGTGATTATCTTGAAGAATGTGATCACCGTAATCGCCGGAAATCTCGACAGTTTTTCTGATTTTGGGGAAAACGACCATTCGGACTCACAGCTTTGCTGTGACATACGATGGATTTTAGCATTTTGAAGTCGTCTGGATAGAGTTTCAGGCAGTTTTTTTTACTTTAGGCAATTTCGAATAATCAATATTTCGTTTGAATTTTATTAGATAAGATAAGATTAGATTCGATTTGCTTTGATGTTATCTTCATTAATTCAGATATCTTTAGGAGTCCTATCATTATTAAAGGACGTCCAGCTTTGTATTCTGGGGATATTATTGAATTGAATTGAATTCCAGTCGAATCGTGGAAGAGTTTTCCAAGTTATCGCTTCTCTCTGCGTCATCAGTTCCTCATGAAATTATTGACGAAGTATTGAGCCGAGGCCAGCCCAAACGAAGTATTTAGCTCATTAATTCTGAGTCACAAAATGGGTTGGAACCCATCTTGCCGGCCCTACTAAAATCTAAACATATTAAGAATTACAGATTTAAACAGCGTCCTTGTTCACAAAGATGTGTTGTTGCTGTTGACTAATCGACAGTGATTGGTTTTCATGAACTTGCTGTCATACTGTCAACAATCCCATTATATATGAGCATAAGAGCGAACTTTGATTTTTGGAAGTTGTAATCTGCAGAGAGTAACTCGAATCCTCCGAAGAAATGAAGTCAACCACAGTGTTCTTGATTACCACAGTTAGTCTGCTACTGTCTTCTCCAGAAGCAAAAGCTCAAACCACCAAATCTCCCCCTCCAAGTCCGGCGCTGGCGCCGGCCCCGACACCTGACCACCTGAACCTCAAGCACCTGCTCACTATAGCGGGCTCGTACCATACTATTCGATTCCATCCTCTATGAGTATTATAATAGTCTTGTGAACAATATAAAAGTTGGGAAAGCAACCCATACTTATGTATTTTAAAATTTGCCAAAAAAGAAAAGAAAATGTAAAAGCGGAAAATTGAAAGTAAGACGTTATCCGAAACGCGAAGTAGACAATTAATTTGCTCTCTTTTTAAGATATATATCATTGTCAATCAATCTAAAAGTTTGGAAGACTGAAAAGACCCTAGAACTATAGGCAATCGATTAAAGATCATAAAAGAACAATGATTATTTGAGTAGAAGTAAATGAGAAATCTTATTTTATACCATGAGGTGTTCCAATACTTGAGTCGATTAATTTCGATGAATGTACGCAAATTGGTTCGTGCACGTGCATTAATAAAGGCTCTCTTGAGGTTAGCAGCCAAGGCCAAAGGTTAATTTCATTGAGACTAGGTGTATTTTTTAAGTACGAAATTTGTGTCCTTAGATTAAGTCACAACCAACAAATTAACTAAAGCCTGATCAGTCAATTTATGGTAGAGTAGATGGAAGTATGAAGCCGTGAGATGAGAGTCATTAAAGCGATGGTGGATTACTTTATCGCAATTGAATCAATCAGACCAAAGCTTCTTTTTCCAGGTCTATATCATTTGCAAATTTTTTTTACTCTATTAGCATTTAGCATAGCTATATTCGAATAGAATGACTCAGCTTTCGCAACCCCCAAAGATTTATACAAGAGAAAATGAATAAACTCTACTGTCTTTTGGCATATTAATTTGATAGAAATTATCTACCAATTTGACATAGATTTCAAATTATTCATCGAATCATATGATGAAAACTAATTTTTTTCCCCATGAGTCAAGCAAATTTCATAATAGAAAAAAATTCGACAACTTCTTGATCTTGATCATCCTCGATTTGAAATAGGTACAAGATTTTTCCAAAGCATGCAATTTTCTGGATGTAAATGGGTTGAATTCCTGTTGCTCTTGAGGTATTAAAATTTCTATCCTGATATTCCCAAAATCATCTCTGCGATGCTTGGACATTCGTGGATGCGAGTCATCAGCTATGAAATTCATGTTCATTGTCTTTCGTTCCATTTGTGATTTCCCCTATCCCTATTTTAATTTTAATTGTTTTGGCTCGATTTCTACATTTTACTTCTTATGAAAGAGAAGTAAGAAGGAGCTTCAATCGGATCAGGCAATTAGGTTGGGCGGTGAAAATGGCCCACCGGCTATCGCCGTATTCATGCAAGAGCCCACATGAGCTTGCTCACTTGGTGACTGCTCGCCGATCGGATGATGCCACGTGGCTAGACCCACGTTGACCGTACAAGAAAGAGTCGAATAGAAAACGCAATGTGAATAGTAGGTTAGCCATATTGGGTTGTGTGATTTACACATAACATGCTTTCTCACTATTGGAGCCGACAAACCTGCAAAAACTGGTCTTTGGAGACACGATATGCAAAAACTGGTCTTTCGAGACACGATATCGAGCTTTAGAGGCTGCCAAGTGACGTTCTAATGATACGTAAATTAAATTACAAACCGATTTGTCAATAATTACTAAACTTTGATATGTTACAATAATCGGTACGAAGGATGATCCTAGTAGCTGGTTTTAAAGTTACACTCAGAGTTGTATCATACCAAAGTAAATTCTCACCGGTGGCGATCAAAGTTGAACGGTATGATGGTGGTGGAGCAACCGAAAAGTTAACCACATTCGTAGCTTCATATTTACCAAAGCTAACTCCAAAAGGACTAATTGAATCTCTAAGCCTCTTTGCTTGTATGGTAGGCAACCTGGATCCTCTGGGGACAGGTTAAAGTAGACAATAGGATCAGTTAAAGGGACTCAAAGCAAAAAAGAAACCATGTACGAGGATTTATTGAGCAACAAGTTTAGCCCTTTAATGCAATATAAAATGGCTGCTTTGTTTCGTCTTTCGTGGGCCAAACGAGTTTGTCTGCTTTCGGTATTGCTTCTAGATCTTGGAGAAGGACGTTTTAACATTGGAAGGTATGTCTTTTTCAAAATGATTAATATTTCCTTTCCTTTTTCTTTTTGCTAATTGTCTAATATTTCCTTTGCTAATTCTAATTGTCTTAAATCTTGATGCTCGATCACACACTTTTTAATGTATTATTTCTTAATTGGTTCACTTTATTCAATGATGTCATTAGTATATCAATAGTATATTCTTGTTTCCTACTGCATTTGGACTACCATTCTTTCTCAAGTTAGCTCAAAGTGTCCTTTCTTGTCACTCCTTTTTGCCTCCGCACACCACTAGTTGACCGTGGTAATTTTAGTTTGCACTTCGCACGACATCGCCCATGATCGGCTGTATATGCATTCTCCGGCCAAAAAAGTCGATTCCCGGAGCAACCAATCTCCGGCCCAACGAAACAGGACAAAATAAAGGACCTGCAAAACACGCGCATAGTGACGGTGGCAACACCAGTGACCACCATGGCCGGGCAGCTACAAAGAGGCTTTTTTTGAGGGCGAACCTATAATTTACGCTTTGATTCATATTTTTGAGGATTTCTTCTATGCAAGCACTCATTATTTTGCACGTTTAAAGTGGAACACCTTATTGATCTCTTTTTGTAGAGTAGGTACCTCTGGCCAAATCACCACGCAAACCCGTGGTGTCTTATTAATTTCTTGCACTTAAATGCTCTTAACGAATCTTTTGTATTTGTTCACGCTTCCGTGATTTTGTGCAACAATTTTAAAATTAGAAAACTTCATGGTCGGATCCATATAAAATTTTGTAGGACGATAATAACTATTATAAAAGCTTAAATGCGTTGCTTCGTATTTCGTTTTATATTTCGGTCTTCTTACACAACCTTTGTTCCTTTGCAATAACTACATTACTTGCATAGCTTGGGCTCGATGGACGTAAAGCTATCTATAGGAGAGGAGGAGGTTGGCATGGACGCCTCGATCCAGGAGTTGGTCCAGAAGGATGAAGGAGGAGCTTCCCTGAATATGTTAGACGATGGAATGGATTCTATGGAGGAAGAAAAAACTGCGCAAACCGCGGAGCAACAAGATCCAGCAGAAGTGTACGCAGCCGCTAGAAAACTGGCCGATGTCATCGAAGGCGCCAATGTCGAAGATATCATTTCCACGATCGAAACGCTTGCCCATCAAACTCATTCGTCTGCCATTTTCAATTTCCGGGGGCTACCGAGGGGTTCGCTGCTCCACATTGCAGCAGCCACCGGCAAGAGCGACATCCTGAGGCTCCTGCTTGATCATGTCGATGCCCACCTCATAGCCGCCCAAGATGATTGGGGAAATACCCCCCTCCACATTGCCACTAAGGCCAAGGCATTAGGAGTCACCGGTATGTTGATTCACCGGGCAAGAGATCTCCCCAACGGCAAGAACATCCTGAGGATAAAAAACAAACATGGAAACACCGCTTTGCACGAGGCCGTGCTTACTCGCGACGTTGGACTGGTGAGCCATCTGTTGAGGGAAGATTTGGAGCCCATGTACTGGAAGAACGTGCATCAGAAATCTCCCCTGTACCTGGCCCTCGAAACTGACAACTCTGAGATACTAGAGGTTTTAATTTCAAACTCGCTTGAACCATCGAGGATAGAAGGCTTGCCACCCGTTCAGGGTGCCATTGTGCGTCGTAACTATGGTATGTACCTAAATCTGCTTGTGGGAAATATCCATATATGTGTAAACTGATGTCGTCCGAAATCTGTGCAACTACTTTTTGCACATATCCAAACCCGTTATGGGTTTTTACATAAAATTCTAAACCCCGCTTACCAAAGTAGTTGGATACCCATAGAGCACTAGCAACTAGCCATATAATTTTCTTAATAAACAAATTTTCTCCCGTTAGAACATAATAGTCAGCTTAAATTTACAAACACAACCATTTTACTAATAACTCATGTATTGTTGATCTTAACTACTAACAATGACAAAAGGAGAAAGATAGGCTTGAAATGATGATTGTTGATGATAATGTTAGATTACAATTGGTCTTGTTTAAGGGTCCACTAATTATATTTTTAGTTTGGTAAATGATTTATCATATTTTGGTTTTGGATTTACCTGTCGGGTTGATCTCATAACCATCTCAATTTCTAGTAGAGTTAGAATTTGTTTCTTTACTGATTAAATACCTAAAAGATGTCAAGAAAATCAGATCAATTTTTCAATTAATACAATTATGTTTGGATATCGGATTCCACAACTACAAAACTTCAAATACATTCCAGACTCTATAGGATTTTAAGCATTTGACCCTAAATCTGTCCCGTTTCCCCAGTAGAATTGGGCATAGGGTGGGGTTGCGCGGAGCGTCCATTGAACCCACACTTCTTTATTTATCTTTAAAATAATCATAATATATTTGATCAGGTACAAACGTCTACTAAAAGTTTCATCATAACTATCCTATTTTTATCTCTTCATAAAGATATATCATTTTAGTTTTTGTATAGTTATGTAATTGTATTGATGAATAAATGTGATATTAAATGAAAATTCATCCATGAAAAAATTAGCACATATTTCAATTTAATCATGAATTTGTAGATAAACAACTTTAATATCTTTAGTTATGTCTCATGATAATCTACACTCTAATGCATTACTTGTAATTGATATACATTTTGAAAAAAATTATAGACCGGGTCTATGTAGATCCCTTCCCTGTATCTTTTGCCTCGTTCCCGATTTTTTTCCGGGAAAAGTAGATTTGTCTTGGGGCGACTAGCTCTGTGCCCATTCTTTTCTTTTTATTTTTTTGGTAAGAATAGGGGCATACCTCAAAAATTACATCATTACTCTCCTAATAAAATATGATCCAATCTCATCCTCTAATAATAAATGAAGCAACAAATTGGCTATTGAAATCATATTCCTAAAGTGAACACACCCCCGTTAACGATTTTGGCAGATCAGGTAATCTCATCATACTTGAGCCGCATTGTCACAAAGCTCCCTTCTCTTCCCATTTCTCTTTACATAAATTAAAACAAAAAATGCTTCATTATGCCACTTAGTCTATAAATAATGTAATTGAGGAATTTTCGAACATTAATTTATGTAGTTTGTTAATTTAGATATATCACGGTATAAGAGACACTAAACAAGTAAATTGGCTATTGAAAGAACTTTAGTTGATTCTTTTTTCATTTATTAGTCATCTAAATGACAATATAAATATAATATTTCTATTATTTATTTATGACATGAATGATTCCTGCACTTTTCTTAAATGTTCAATGTGGTGTTTAAATGTTTTTGTTTAATCTAGTCATTGAACTGATAATGTAGTCATTTTGTTAAAAATTCTAACATCATTGGTTGAAGTGATCATAATTGCCATTAACTTGAAGTCATTATATTTGCCATGTTGGTGTCCACGTGGTGTACATACGACTTCTACATAATCTCTCTCTCTCTCTCTCTCTCTCTCTCTCTCTCTCTCTCTCTTTATTTTAGCCAGAAAAGTAACGAAAAAAGATTTGCTAACATGGGAAAACAACATGGCAGTCTACATCATTAGTTTGGCTTGATAAAGTCTGACATAGCAGTTCACGCAAGAAAAATGCACTTGACATAGCGATGCACTTAATGTAAGGACTCCATTTAATCAGGTTTTGAAAGTTCAAGAATTAGATTGAATAAAAAAATATTTAAAGGCCACATTGAACATTGAAGAAAAATTAAGAGACCACTCGTGTCAATTTCCCTTAATTATTGAATAAGAGTCCTGTAGTTTGTGAAGGGAGATATATATTTTTTGAGTCATCAATTAATTAATAAATCAACATATGCACACATACATGAATTCACTACGGAAAATAATTAGACATTTTTAGATTATTCGGATTGGTATCTTCAGCTATGTTGATAACATTCACCAAGGAATGCAAGTTTAAACTAATTTTGCAGTCTCTTTTATTCTACGCATGTAATTATTGCAATGTTCACTACGATGAAGATGACGTTCATTCTAAAGAGGGTGGAAATATTTCAATGGGCATTTTGGTACGGTGCCCATGGAGGTTATTGCAATGTTCTTCACAATAGAATAAATTTGCCTTATACTTGCTAGAATTTGAAGAACATAATAGGAAAAGATCATTTTCCTTTTCTGCCATGTCATTTACTAAAAGTTTTAGAGTAAAACCTTAGTACATGTCCTTGTCGCATTGCTTTGTATGAAAATGGCCTAAAATTTACCTAAAGTCTCCAAAAAACATTAACGGGATCCTTTCGAGGCCATATCTAAAGTCTCACAGGTCTTGGTCCATCATGCTGGAGAAGGAAAGTCAGATGCTTCGAGATTCAAAGCTCGAACATCCATAAAATTGTTTGAACTGAAAATGGGTTAGGAAACCATTAGAAGCATTTGATTTATTCAATCAAATTAGTGATTAGGCTCCGTTTGTTTCGCAGAAAATGAACGATTTGAAAAATATTTTCCTAAGTTGATCGATTGCATTGCTTGAAATTATAATTAATAAAAAATATTTTCATTACTGGCAACAATTTATATTTAAACATTTTTGTGAACAATGAAAATATTTTTTGTTCATTCATTTTTTTTAAGTGTCTTGAGTGATCATTTTTAGGAAAATGTTTTCTAAATTGATCATTTTTCGGAAAACAAACGGAGTCTAAGGTGTCGAAGATATCCTAATCTCGAAATGGGTTAAGATATATCAACACCAGCCAAGCCCCAACCACCGTACAACGTTTATGCGGATGTGGTCCCTAATTTGAAGCTCTTGATCCCAGGTTTAGCTGCCCGGATACTCAAGAAAGACGTGAAGCTATTTGCAATGACCGACTCTAGTGGCGGTAATGTATTCCATTTAGCAGCTTGCATGAATCGGCATCGACAATGGGAACCCTTACGACCAAGAACTAATCATGCTCGCTTATTCGAACTCATACGACCAGAAACTGAATATTTGGCCCGAGAACGGGACACGTCTGGGGATCTTCCCATTCATATTGCGAGCAAGATGGGTTATGTTGATCTAATCGAAAAGCTACTTCCAGTATCACCGTTGCTGAATGGGCAAGGACAAACCGTTCTTCATGTCGCAGCAAAATATGGGAGAACTCAAGCACTGAGATATATACTCAGACATCCAAAATTGGGGATGCTGATAAATGAAAGTGATCATGCTGGAAATACAGCTTTGCACCTGGCCGCGATGCATTCACAACCCACCACTTTGATTCCTCTTGTGCTGGATGAAAGAATTTCCCTCAACCATCTCAACCACGAGTGCATGACTGCTCTTGACATTGCTCTAGATCGCGGGAGCTCTACGTTCCGGCAGGTAGGTAACATTCACTATTTTATTTATCAACATATTGGAAATTTCATAGATCAATACATTAGTCAAGCGACCTACCCATCGGTGGCCGCGTTGGTTTGCGCTCAGTTCCTTTCACGAGAGGTCCTGGGTTCAAAACTCGCCCATCGGTGATTTAAGTGGGGGTCGTGGCGGTGGGATGCTGCGCTAGCCCCCCTCGAGGACTAGTCGGGCATCACCGCTGGTTTGAGCCCTAGCTCGCCGGCCACGCGGACACCTCGATTATCAAAAAAAAAAAAAATACATTAGTCAAGCGCTGATCTCGGGTGCAAATCATTATGTCTCCTAGCCGACGGGATTGTTGGGGTTTTCATTCCTCCAAGATTGATGTTCTACAAGTCTCTAGTTAAGTCTTGATAGGATGTGGTTAAAATTTGTGGCCATGAATATGTCCGCGGTTAGAAACACGCAGAATATCTCCAACAAAATGTAGAGATAAATTGTGACAGATCTCGATTAGTTGAGCCTATAAATACGATCAATGTTGCATTCGTTTTTTCTTGAAAAGCCAGGGGTCAATGGGGCAAATTTGACCGCTCTAAATTTGGCATAATCTCGTGACATTATCCTAGAGCCAACCTATTCATCGATAGACCATATAAATTTCATTAATGCCTCTTTTCTCATCTCAAATGGACTCGTAGTCTAGTGTTAATTCTTCGAAAGGAGAAGACACTGCATCTTTAGAAGTAAAAGTTTCCCTTTACATGAATACTCCAGAGTTGATTCCCGTCATCACTGTGGTAACAATTTGTTCTTTTTTTTCCTTTTCATATGCTTCCAATGTCAGTTTTTGGCATACGTTTTGTTGGTATCCACGTCAGCTGTAAGCATGGACATACTTGTACTTAGGCCGGAAGCTCGAAATGAAGCATTTTCAATAGTCCAATCACGCGAAAAGAAGCTAGACCTGGACCTGGTGAAGGAAGTGATCAATTGCCGTCTGGTGGTGGCAACGCTTGTGGCCACTGTGACTTTCGCAGCTGGTTTTGCAGTTCCTGGAGGATTCAACGGCACAGACGCGGCCTCCAGAGATTACCGAGGCATTGCTACAATGCTGGACAATAGAATGTTCCAGGCCTTCGCAATTTGCAACACCGTCGCGATGTTCTGCTCAATAACCTCGGTCATCAACCTCATTTGGGCGCAGACAAAAGACATCGACTTGGTGAGATCTGCACTAAGTAACTCAGAAGCGTTGCTAACAATTGCCCTCCCGGCGATGTCCGTCGCTTTCTTAACTGGTGTTATCTCGACCCTAGGCAAACTCCCTTGGCTTGCTAACACCATATTTTATTTGGGACTCGTCTTCGTCCTCATTATCACAGTTGCCATATTGTCAAGGTATTTTTTCTTCTCCCGGCGCAACCTTCGTCTTATCCGTCTTCTGTTGTCCTGGAATATTCGCGCTTCCATTTATTTCTGGAGAGTTAAGGCGTACATTTTGGATGATTCGGAAGAGGATGGAAAGGCGAGCAGCACCACCGCTAGTCAGCCTCCGAATGGTGCTGGTGAATCCCATGCTGATGACTCGACGACAGCGAAATGTGGTGACACGCCACATCCTCCCAATCTCTAGTTATAAAAATATATTTGCCATGGTGTATTTGGCTCATTCTACAGTTGCTTTCCTACTGCTTCAGATCAATGGTGATTGTGAAAGTATTTGAATTAAACCTTTTACTGTAATACCTTAAACTTTTAGAACACTTGAATGTAATCTCATGAAATTTACATAGTAGTATTAGATCAGGAAATTCTGAGTTCAGACATTTCCAAGTCCTATTTGCCTCATCTATTACATATTCTCATGTTTTAATTATAAGGCAAAGTTCAGACTACGCATGAGGAGTATTAAAGTATTTGAATTAAATCAAGAATTTGTCTAATAATTTAAGTGTGTTGAGCGATTGGCTGCAGTTACACGAAATTTCACAGTGAAACATGTGTCGTGCGACATGCTGTGTCAATTGAATGGACGAGTGGCTCATTTCATTTGTTTCGCCGCTCTGAAATCAATCCATTAGCTCTGAACATGTAGAAGCCTATGATTTTATAAAATTGCTCGTCTAGAGCGGTCATGGAAGATTTACCGTGGACCAATTCAATTTGCAGAGAAAATAATTCTCAACACCTATTCTCTAACTCGAGCCTTTGGCGAAGAAAACCAGAAAAACATTGAAGAATATTTCTCTTCACTCCTTACAAAATTTAAATTTTAACTCAACTCTTTACGCCCTTTCATTTGCCCCACCTCTTCTTCCCAAACAAACGAGAAAATATTCAGTGGTTTGTGCACGCCGCGTGGCGTGCATAAACTCACGTGGACCACTGATAATAAGACATGTGGCTCTGACCTGGAATAAAAAAAATAAAGTTATATTCGAGTCTCCCTCCTCTAGCGCCCTAGGAAGAAGACTCTCCCTCCTCTGTGCCTATAGGAGGAGGCGTGAGCAAAGAAGTGAAGCAATTAATGCACGCATTAATTGCTTTGTTCTCTCTCTCCCCCTCTCCCTCTCTTTTCTCTTTCACGTAAGTTTGAATGTCCATTTCTTTTTCACTCTTCTCCTTCCCTTCCTAGAAGGCTTCCTCTCATCTCATCCTTGTTCTTAACTTTTCTTCTTCACTTTCATCGTCGGTGGCTCCGCAAACCGCTGGTGAAAAGCGGAAGGCCGATCGCAGCGGCTGGGTCCCGAGACCCCCTTTGCCTCCGTCCTCTTGCTCGCCTCGCGTGCCCAAAAGGGAGTGAGGCAGAGGCCAAGGGACGGGTGACCGCCCTTGACATACGAGCTTGGGGGCGAGGTTGGGAGATGACATTTTTTTTCTTTGGTCGAAAGCGGCAGCTCCCATGTCAAGAAGGTCGTTGCTGCCGCCAAGCCCAAAGTAGCTGCAAAGCCGAAAGTTATGGCGGGTGTGAAGAGAAAGGCGGCCAAGAAGTCGAAGTTGAAGCAGGCGGTGAAGACTTCTGCCAAGGCGACTCTCGGGAAGAAAGCTGTGGAGAAGGTTGCCGTCGTGAAGTTGAAGAAGATGCCGGCGAAGAAGCCAAAGAGCGTGAAGACGCGGATGAAGAAAACCAAGAAGTGAGTCAATGCTATATTCTTTATTAGTGTGAGGCAGAGGCCGAGGGGCGGGTGACTACCCTCGACAAGAGCTTCGGGTTCTCAAAGTTCTTCGGGAGCAAGTACGAGCTTAGGGACGGGGTCGGGAAAGGGTCTTTTTTTTTTTTTTAGTTGATAAGAAAATTACAAGAATAAACAACAAAACAGAGCCCAAGAATTTTCCTCTACTTGCAGTATTTTTTCTTCTTCATGCGATCAAGCTTGATTAACTGTGGTGCGCCAAGATGCCGAGGTGAAGTTCGCATTGATCGAGAAGAACTTCGAGAACCCGAAGCTCTTGTCGAGGGCAGTCACCCGCCTCTCGACCTCTGCCTCACGCTAGTAAAGAACACAGCACTAATTCATTTCTTGGCTTTCTTCATCCGCGTCTTCACGCTCTTCAGCTTCTTCGCCGGCGTCTTCTTCAGCTTCGCGGCGGCAACCTTCTCCATAGCTTTCTTCCCGGGCGTCGCCTTGGCAGAAGTCTTCACCGCCTTCGTCGCGGGCTTCAACTTCGGCTTCTTGGCCGCCTTTCTCTTCACACCCACCATAACTTTCGACTTTGCAACTGCTTTGGGCTTGGCGGCAACAACGGCCTTCTCGCCATGGGAGTTGCCGCCTTCGACCAAAGAAAAAAAATGCCGTCTCCCAACCTCACCCCCAAGCTTGTATGTCAAGGGCGGTCACCTGCCCCTTGGCCTCTGCCTCACTCCCTTTCGGGCGTGCAAGGCGAGCAAAGGACCGAGGCGGAGGCGGGAGGCGTCTCGGGACTCAGTCACTGTGACCGGCCTTCCGCTTTTCACCGGCGGTTTGCGGAACCACCGACAACGAAAGTGAAGAAGAAAAGCTAAGAATAAGGATGAGATGAGAGGAAGCCTTCTGGGAAGGGAAGGAGAAGAGTGAAAAAGAAATAGACATTCAAAATTACGTGAAAGAGAAAAGAGAGGAAGAGGGGGAGAGAGAACACAGCAATTAATGCGTGCATTAATTGCTTCACCTCTTTGCTCATGCCTCCTCCTATAGGCACAGAGGAGGGAGAGTCTTCTTCCTAGGGCGCCAGAGGAGGGAGACTCAAAATATACCTTTATTTTTTTTATTTCAGGTCAGAGCCACATGTCCTATTATTATTGGTCCACGTGAGTTTATGCACGCCACGTAGGCATGTGACGTGGCGCGCACGAACCACTGAATTTTCTCCAAACAAACCATAAGGAACGTACTTGTCCAGTGTTCGAAGACCTAGATTTTTGTGCATGTACAGGAACGATGAATCGATTTCTTGATGGGGCTTAGATCGACGTGAAAGGTGTTTGCTCGCAATCTATTGAAACACTAAATCGCATGGTATAAACATGCTTTTCCTCTATGTAACTATTTTGTGATGAGAGTGGTCATATCATGTGTTCCATGGAATTAACCTTTGCAATTGGCACTCAATTCCTATGCATACGAATGAGTTTGGCGTTTGAGTTCCATCTCCAAGCTCTGCTTTTACTTCAAAGATGATTGGTATCGACATGTAGAATGGAACTCTAAGGTTATTCTCATCCGATTTAGGTAGTAAACATTTGAAAAATCTGTCGATAGATGTCATGTGCCAAATTGTGGGTTAACGTACCTTCCTTTGTACTTAAGATACTAATGTCATTGACCTGAAACAGCACTGTCTGCTGAGTGAGGAATGTGTGGCGTGGGTCCATTCCATGGATGCAGAGAAGCTATACTTATAATGGATTCATCTGTTGTGTTCATCTTTTAATCGCGGCATGTGTCCACTTAATTCTAGTTCTCACTATACCTAATCCAACTATTAGCGAACCCTAGCAGAGTGCCTAGTCCAAAATAGGAAAATATTTTGACAGAAAACTAAAGGAATTGGAGAATTTTTGATATTGTATTGGTATATTTCAGTATACATGTACATGACCTATTTATAGTGAAAGAATAAGAAGGATAAATGGGAAACAATATATAAAAGATTACAATTCCCTATCTATCAAAATCAATCATGGATTGACTAAATCAATTAGTCAATCAAGATCAGTGCCCAATATCATAATCTTCAATCACATCTCCAACACTCCCCCTCAAGCTGGTGGCCTATATATGTCAAGGACACCCAGCTTGCTTAGTAGGTGTGTATGTTGTCTTCGACATAGTGGTTTAGTAAAAATGTCTGCATAGTTCCAATTCCTTTTGTTACAAGGATCCCTTCTCGAATCTTATCTCGGGTAAAGTGACAATCAACTTCTATGTGTTTTATTCTCTCATGAAAAACTGGATTTGCCACTAGTTTAAGTGCGGCATCATTGTCACAAAACAGTTCACTTGGTCCATCGACTTGAATCCCAAGATCCGAGAGTAGTCCTCGTATCCAAACTATTTCGCAGACAGTTTTTGCCATGGCTCGATACTCTGATTCAGCTGATGATAATGATACAGTTGACTGTTTCTTCGTTTTCCACGATAATAAGGACTTACCCAATTTGATGCAAAAACCAGTGATGGATCTCCTAGTCATCGGGCAAGTAGCATAATCTGTATCACAGTAAGCTGTCATTTTCATGTTGCAATCAGAAGACAAAAATATACCAAGTCCTGGGCATCCTTTTAAATACTTTACCACCTTCAGTGCTGCATTCATATGAGACTGTTTTGGATTATGCGTGAATTGACTGAGTATTTGTACTGCATAACATATGTCAGGTCTTGTCATAGTGAGATATATCAGTTTCCCAACTAGCCGCTGATATCCCGATGGGTCCTTAAGTAATGGATCCTCTATAGAAGAAGATGAACCCATATCATACTCATGTGTTGTCAGTTTGGTATTCTGCTCAATTGGTATAACGGCTGATTTACATCCTGACAATCCTGCTTCAGAAACAATCTCCAAGATAAATTTTCGTTGACTAAGGTTGATACCTTTGTCGGATCGAGCGATCTCAATGCCAAGGAAATATTTTGGAGGTCCCAGATCTTTGATATGAAAAGCAGAATGTAGATACTCTTTGAATTTTGCAACATGAGAGTCATCATTTCCCATGATAAGTATGTCATCAACATATATCAGCAAATAAATTGATGAATTACCTGCAGTCCATGTGAATAGAGCATAATCATGTTTGGAATGTTGAAAACCTGCACTTGTTAGTGCAGCAGTGAATTTGGCATACCATTGCCTAGAAGCCTGTTTCAGCCCATACAGGGATTTACGGAGACGACATACTCGAGACTCCCCCTGTCTGCGTAAACCCTGTGGAAGCTCCATATAAATTTCTTCATCGAGATCCCCATGTAGAAAAGCATTGTGTACATCCATATGATGTAATGACCAATTGTGAATGGCGGCAATTGATAAGAAGGAACGGACTGTTACTTCTTTTGCAACTGGAGAAAAAGTCTCATGATAATCAAACCCTTCTCGTTGTGTAAATCCTTTAGCAACTAAGCGAGCCTTATATCGCTCAACAGAGCCATCAGCTTTGAATTTGATGTTGTATACCCATTTACAGCCAATTGGTTTCTGATGTGATTGCAATGGAACGATATCCCAAGTGTGGTTTTCCATGAGGGCATTAAGTTCAGATGCCATTGCATTTTGCCATCTAGGGTCACATGCTGCTTCATTGTATGAAGATGGCTCATGTT